TCTTGAGCTGTTAGGTCTCCTTCGGAGGCGCTCGGGCAGCAGTTACCAAGAAGGGGTGGCCCTTCTGGCTAAGCCCTTGCTCGCCCACCTATCCTGGTGAAACTGGAAAGGCCTCCGGGCCACCAGTAATCCTTCAATCATAAAAAAAAATGCGGTGTGTCATTAGAACTTTATCGAAAGGCCGAAAGAGGAATAAACTACAACTGCCCCATGTTTATTATTACTAACAAATTCTTTACGTGAAAATCAAATATATCTGTTTTTTTTATTCTGCTCTGTCGTTTTTCGAAAATAAGCCAATTTGAGCGACAAGGCCGCCTATCGTTGCATTGATAATAAATTTTCTATCGACCGGTGCCTCCATATGTTTATGTAGTTCTGTAGAATCAGATGAAGGCATGGTGTATGGGTATAAATCCCACCTTTTGAATTTCTTTACGTCTCTACCCGTTCATAAGCTATGAACAATTCATAGTTATTTTCGACGTTATAAATTTGAACCGGCAAAGATGATAGTATAATCGTTTTATTTTGAAACAAAACAAAAAAATATTTTATAATTCCTATTCTGCTTGTTTTGTTCTATGTGTCTTGTTTATACGGATACTAATTCTCATTCCAAAGTTTTTTGTCTTGTTTTAATTTTAAAATAATTATTTGAAAATATAAACCATAATCATCAAATGTGTTTGTAAAAAATACAGGTCTTCCGTTGTATTAATTACAAGGTTCTTGATGCAAAAAAATGAACTTAAACTTTTTAATTTAAAGTTAGCCTACATACACGTGTTACTGACAATTAAAAATTTTTTTTTTTTATTGCCCTTGTATGCTGACGAGCATACGGCCCACCTGATGGTGAGTGGTTACCGTCGCCCATGGACTACAGCAATGCCAGGGGCAGAGCCAAGCCGCTGCCTACCGCATAAATATTGCTAAAGCAGTGTGAGATGCGGGGCTTAACAGATATGTTATGTAACTGATAACAGACACGGCTCCAAATCCATTGCCCACCCAGAGAATGATCACCGAGTTCCCTTAGTCCGCCACTATAGTGAAGACATATACAGCATCGGTATAGAGGAAATAAGGACTGCTTTGGAACAGCTTAAAAACAAGAAAGCCACCGGAGATGATGGAATCAGTATCGAGTTGTTAAAGGCAAGTGGTACACCAGCTCTCAACCACTTGGGCACAACGTTCAACTCCATCATCCAAAAAACGACTACACTGGAAGCTTAGAGCAAGGGTACTGTCATTACTTTAAGATGGGACCGTACTCTCCTTGAGAACTACAGACCTATTTCATTTCTTAAACATAATTAAAACCTATTCCCCAAGCTTACGCTTGGCCTTTAAACTTGACGAGTTCCAGCTTCCGCAAGACCGGGCAGCCGTTGTACTGTAAAAATTGGGACCTTAGAACTATTATCTCAAGGTAGGTGGCGACATTTACGTTGCAGATGTTTCTGGGCTCCGGTAACCACTTAACATCAGGTGGACTGTGAGCTCGATCACCGATTTAAAGAATAAAAAAAAATACCACATCCACACGCTGACACAGGTTATTCAAAAGACTAACGTACGCTAACGACTAACGTCTTCCGTGCCGCGCGTTGCTGCATTAGAAAATGAAAATGGATTAGAAAATGAAAATGAAAATGAACTGAGCTCAATTCCTGAAAAAAGCGCTAAAAATATTTTGATTATTGAATTATTCGTTGGCGTATGTGTTCGTTATAAATTTTGATGAATAACTAGCACTTGGTGTATTATCAATCTTTTCCCGATACTTTCTTGACAGAGTTTGTCGAAGACAATGTTTTAACTCATATTAGTTTAAACAAATAGTGTGCTATTTCTAATGGCACTCTTTTACAATTTTGCTAAAACTATCAACAACAATTCTATGACGACGCTTGCAGCTGAAAGTAAGTATTGTACTTTTTGACGAAGCATGTTGCTGATAACTTTATTTCTGTAATCTGACGAAGCATGTTGCGGATAATAACATGTACTTTTAGGTTAGGAATATTGTGTTCTTTTTTTTTTATTACTTGAATTATGTGATTTATCTATCATTAAATTAATTTTATTTGGTATCGACATACAATACATACAATACATATTCTACAGAGTATCATTTGAGTCAGATATGCACAAAACACAAAAATAGAAAAAAAGGCAATAAAAATTCCCATGTAAATATTTCGGGGACTATTTGACATGAAACGAACGTTCTTTGATAAATGAAACTGAAATAGTACAATAGATTTGCCAATGTTCGGCTATGTGTTATATAGTGTTCACTTTGTTGAGTTCGTATGTGCTTCAGCAACCGCTAACTCCAGATAAGCCTTGGAATTGGACACCGATTTAGAGTAACAAATAACATACAAAAGGAACGATTTCCCGTTTAAATGATGGATAGTCGGTATTGAGTCAATCCCAAATTTCCTCAAGTGTCAACATCAGCTATATAGCATTGAGAGCTATTTATAAAATCTTAAACACAACCATCACTGATTGTACTGGTGTGTCACCATAGAAAGTATATAATAGTTATATATTTTTTTATTGCCCTTGTAGGCAGACGAGCATACGGCCCACCTGATGGTGAGTGGTTACCGTCACCCATGGACTTCAGCAATGCCAGGGGCAGAGCCAAGCCGCTGCCTACCGCTGAAACGGAGCTACACGCCACTGAGCACGTGTAGCGATGCTCAATTAAAGGATTCAATCCCGGCGGCTCATCCTGGAAATTCGAGGAGATTTAACTCATCGTAAAGACCAAGCCGACACCTAGTGTACTATTATTATCGAGGAGCATAATTACGTCAGAATACAAATAAAACAGTCACCGATTTTTCTAATATGCATCTGGTAAATGTTCACGATTGCCTACCATAATATTGTGTATAATAGAAGGAATTTACCAAAATGCTTATTTTATGGTTTGAAAAATAGGACTGTCGTTGTATAATACATAAACATCAACCTCATCATACATCAAAGCGGTTACTTGTTCACGTTTCGATGTCCAAAGGCAACAGTTTAGTTACCATTTTGCACCAGCTGAGTCGTGAACTTCTCCTTCCATCTAAAGGAAAAAAACATATTCGCCTGGTTTTGGAACCGAATGGGGAGACTGGGTACATTATGACCGAAAACGTAGTTCTTTCGGTGAACATATAATAATGTAATCATAATTATTATTTTATTGGTCAGGAGGAAATCGCCGGACTTCCACCCTCCACTGGGGCTCGCGGGCGGAGCATGTCGGAGTCGAACCGACTAAAACCTCCTGTCGCTTAAAAACCAACGTCCAAACCTCCCATGAGACAGAACTCATGAAAAGGCAAAGGGGGGAGAGTGAAGCGCTTAGCGCGGAGCACATCAAATCTCTCCCATCATCGTCCCCTCGGGACGTCGGACCGGCGGTCATCAGCGCCGCGACCACCAGCCCTCTCGTTCGGCAGGCTATCCAAAGCCCTCCTAGATGGCACCGGTTAGATTGAGTTATTCTACGGTGGGTCAGAACCAGCGTGGGTCGAGGATAGCCGGCCTTCCATCACCCGGATAATGCAATCATAATGGGTGTGCATATTCGAAACGAAATGACACGCTGTAATGATTCAAGATGTATTATTTCATTAATTAACAGCATCCTCTAGAGGTCGATATGTCACTAGCAATTATCATTTAGGCTCCGGTTAAAATAATCAATGTTTCCACTATCAATACATAGGTATAATAAAACAGTATATTCCGGTGTCTGTACATTGAAAAACACTGCCAAAAATCTATATTTTCTAGAAGAATTTGCTTAATTAGTGATGGTAAACCGTATTGTGAGCCCGCATACACCGACTACCGATACTATCATCCTACGTATTTCTGCCATGAAGCAGTAATGTGATCAGTTGGAAGAGTGGGACAGCTGCTGAAGGCTTAGACCTCATGTCTCAAGTAGAGTGATATAAATCACGTTTTAATATGTATATAGGTTCCGGTAACCACTAAAAATCAGGTTTGCGCTGAGCTCGTTCGCATTCAAATGGAATGAAAAGCAAACAAAAGGAAGGGGTAACGAAAGTAGATTTATGCAAGACAAATAAAAATAACAATATTTTCTGTACGTTTGTTTTTTTGCGTGCGTCTATGGAACTACAATTATACAAATTATAGATTTATTTAGAACAAATCTGTTTCATTAAAAACTATGAAATTTATTTTTTTAAATATGCCATAGGAAGTGAGACTTAGAGATCTAGTATAATATATATTTTTAGACACATAATTGAATAGCAGTCGTCGGTCAACACAAAGACTGTGAAAATAGTCGAAAAGAAATATTGACAATTAAAAACACGAGATTAAGCCGTAAAAGCCGTTAATTTTATTTTTAAACTACATATTTGTATAGCGAACAATTTTATTCCTACGTAAGTAGCTCTATTTGTCCCTACGTTTTAACAGAATTGAAATATAAGGAAATAGTTTGAACTACGGGGAAAGATAATATTTTAAGCTACTGTTCATTCAACTGCTGAGCACGCGGCTCTGACCACACGATATTTTTATTCTTTTGTTGCCCTTGTAGGCAAACGAGCATACGGCCCACCTGATGGTGAGTGGTTACCACTTGCCAGGGGCCGAGCGAAGCCACTGCCTACCGTTTAACTCTCCACAAGCCTCGTTTGAAGAAGGTGACATCTCCTTCTCGCAAGCGAAGCTACGGGCCTAAAGCTAGCTCCACTTAATTAATATCTGGTGGTCAATGACCATATCATCACAAACTTCTTAGTATTTTAAAGTTTACGTCGAAAATATTCGAAATTCGACAACGGTCAATGGAAACCAGCAAGCGAAAATGCACTTTTTGCTTTTAGCTTTAGACGTATTTTTGTAAGAGCAACAAACATCCATAAGACATGCTTAGATCGACCTACAAACTCGCCGAGAGCTGAAGGTCTATGATCAATATTTTTGTATTTAGTCAATATATAGCAGTCGATGTCGCCGCTGCATCCAGTTCTGATTACGGCTTTATTTGTAGAACTTTGATTTTGAATTATTATTTTTTTAATCAACATTTGAAATGAATTTCCACATGTCTGTTTATGGTATTACGTTAAATATTCTTCTATTTTTTTTCCGCAGCGGCTCAACAAAATTAGCACGTAAGTATTTTTAATTATTTATCTTTTTATATTTTCTTTTATTCGTGAGATATTTATTATGTACCCAAAAAGCGTGTTTTTAATTTACAAATAACTGATGCTTTTGGTCATGATCGATGCAATTATCCACTATCAATCCACAGTTTAGACACTGACTTATTAATTGTTGAAGCTATCCAATCCAACGGAACAAGTTGTTTTAATTTTTTTTATCATTCGATTTGGTTTATCAATATTAACGTCACCGCGTTGTTAAACTCCCATTCCCGCGCTTTTTTAATTGACTTTGTAGGCAAACGAGGTGAGCCGTATCCACCTGATGGTAAGTGGTTACCGTCGCGATGCAATGCCAGGGGTACAGCCAAGTCGCTGCCTACCATACCATTACATCATACCATACCATGCTTACCATTTCTGTGAAGAATCTAATCGGTTACTATCACTGTAGCGAGCCTAAATTTTATATACCTATGTTAAATAAATAATATTCAATACGTTTATAGATTTAAATTTTAACAAAACAAACAAAAAAAGTCCAATAGTCTTTGAGTGATATTTGAATGAATAAATAAACCAATAGATACATACAACAACAAATAGATACATACAAAAACAGGTATAAGTATTAAATTGTTGAAATGGCTTTTTGGAAATAAATATTCGGGTTTATTTATACATAGTTTCGTTCTTAGTAAGCCTATATATGAGTCGTCTATTATCAAAGGCGGCAATCTGTACATTTGGACAAAATTTTTTTATTGATATGTCAATACAGATTTATTTGAATATAATCGTCTCCTTCAAAGAATACGGTTCAAAACCTGCATTAAATAAAGGTTAATAGTTAACCTGTTATTTATCTAAGATGTCGTTCCGAAGAGTTTTGTGACTGCCAATGGAATACAAAGTCAATAATTCGTTTTTCTGATTTACCAATCATTGTCCAAAAGTCAGATTGCCGCCTTTGATAATAGACGACTCATATAAACATAAGAAAACCAAGGAAACCATTTTAAACAATGACTTATTTAACCTTGCTTGAGGCCAATGTTAACTGGTTGTTATAAAACTTAAATAACCAGTACAATCAATTAGCATTATGACACTAAGCTTTTTATGAACCCGACAATCACCTTCGTAATCTTTACGTTCATCAGTAATAATGATATAATAAAATTTTATACTATTTTTTTATTTATTTTTTTCATTTATATTGAGGTCAGTGAATATTAAGCCAAGGCTAAATATAATTAAGTAATTTTATCGCTTCGAATAATCTATGCGAGATTAGTTTGCGATTTATCATCGAACGTGCAAATTTTTGTACACCACATAATTACGAAAAATTATACAAACATTCAATAAGAAAATAATAAACGTTCTTTTAAATGAACAAGAGGCTCGAAAATTAATTTGCGTTTAATTATTTTCAATTGTATTATCCAAATTTTTCCTCCACAACATATATTTACCTAATGATAATATTTAAAAAAAAAAGTTTAATATCTGAGTTACCAACTGCTTTATGCTATTCGATTAAAAACGCTAAAATTGTGATCTTATTTACGCTTAATACAATTTTCGATACATACATCAGATAAAAAAGTGGAGCTTATGTAAAGCCTTAGATGTTTTTACAACAAGAACCACTCTGCGGCATATTATACGATGAATAATTAAACCCAACAAATGTTTTTTGAAATAATTATCCCTCTGTGCGCTTGTATATAAAAGGCACTCCGTGGTTGCAAAGGTATTGAATTTGTAATTATATATTTCCGCACGGCGGTTATTCTTTTTACATTGTTGCGTGAACGAAGAACGAGCATTTTGAAAATATAGTTTTAATAAAAATCAAGATTTGTACTAATGTATCTATACATTATGTCCTTTATGCGTTCTTAAACTATTCATCCTATTCATTCGCGAAGTACTTGCTCTTGAGTTGGTAGGTCTCCTTCGGAGGCGCTCGGCCGGCTGTTAGCAAATCCCACCCCTCCTGCCTGAGCCTTTGCTCGCCCAACTGTTCTGGTGAAACTAGAAAGACCTCCGGGCCACCAGTGATCCTTCAATAATCTATATATATAAAAATGAATTGCTGTTCGTTAGTCTCGCTAAAACTCGAGAACGGCTGGACCGAATTGACTAATTTTGGTCTTGAATTATTTGTGTAAAATTTGTGTGTTTGTGTAAAAAAAATTACAATTTTGTTTTTCCTTCGATGTGTCCCCCGTCGGACGGATTCCTTTTGTTTGTTTTAAGTATATTTTATACAAAAGTTTAGGTATTTTATTTATCGATTGAGGCACTACGAAGTCTGCGGGGTCAGCTAGTAAATAAATAAAAAATAAAATATTCACCCTATTATGATAAAGTTTGGTACAGCAGTTGACATTCCAGGGAAGGCTTCTGACAGAGAACTATCCAAAATACGATGCGTGTTATGTATGTGGTGTGCGAATATGGTGCGCGAGTAATTTAAATTTATCAATGTTTTTCACACAATTAACGACAGCCACCGCGGATCCTGATAGTATTTAATTGTTATAATACTAATTATTCGCCTCGTTGGTTTAGTTTTGATTCTAACTACTACATCAGGCTTGATTCTCGGTTGGAGCTATTAGATATGTGGTTTTGTTATAATTGATGTTATCGGGTCCCATAGGATATTACAATGATAAAGCCTGATATTACAATGATTAGCGGTAGGCAGCGGCTTGGCTCTGCCCTTGGCATTGCTGAAGTCCATGGGCGACGGTAACCACTCACCATCAGGTGGGCCGTATGCTCGTCTGCCTACAAAGGCAATAAAAAATTAAAAAAAAAAGCCGCCGCCTATTTAAAGACATGAGTTTGAAATCACAATTGCACATATTGTATTATACCTATATATATTAAATAACTGGCTGTTTTACTTATCTATCAAATTAGAATGCTTGACTGCTTCACCGTAGAAAAGCCAAATGTTAGTACCTTTTTTAATGATTGAAGGATTACTGGTGGCCCTGAGGCCTTTTCCAGTTTCACGAGGAACCTGTGCTGGTGAAACTGGACTAATATAGTACTGCCAGACTCCAGTAATGACCATCGGTAAACATATTACCGAACAGATATCGCTCTGGGCACAACTAAAATAGTGCCACGCGCCGAGCTTCGAAACAAAAACACTTAATCTTCAACTCATAACTGCTCGTAATTCTACCTGTTTTTTAGGTAAAGGTAGCCCGCAAAATTATAATTTGCGTAATTACTGATTGTAGGACCTCTTGTGAGTACGCACGGGAAGCTACCACCGCCCTGCCTATTTCTGCCGTGAAGCAGTAATGCGTTTCGGTTTGAAGGGTGGGGCAGCCGTTGTATCTACGAGTATACTGAGACCTTAGAACTTATATCTCAAGGTGGGTGTCGCATTTACGTTGTAGATGTCTATTGGCTCCAGTAACTACTGGACATCAGAAGGGCTGTGAGCTCGACCTTCTACCAAAGCAATAAAAAAAAAAAAAAAACTTCAGAAGATAATCTGTATTCCGTCAAATATTTTTTACATCCAAAAGTCTGCCTAACAAAGAAAGCATTATTTAAATTGGTGCATAATCATGATACAATCGTGAATTTCGCACTTAATCGCACGAATCACAGTACTTCCCAGGGGAAATTACACGAAAAGAATGTCGTTCAATGTCTGTCTACGTCATAAAATTATTAGAAGCACCAAATACGCGATTAAGCAATAATGTCCAGTCAAAGTCTAGGAGGTGTCGATTTATATATTAAATTGATTTTAAAATATATTTTCTCTAGACACATGCACCAAATACGCGATTAAGCGATAATAATGTCTAAAAGACTAAATTGATTTTAAAATATATTGTCTCTAGAGACATGCACCAAATACGCGATTAAGTAATAATGTCTAAAATATTAAATTGATTTTAAAATAATGATATATTGTCTCTAGAGACATGCACCAAATACGCGATTAAGAAATAATGTCTAAAATATTAAATTGATTTTAAAATATATTGTCTGTAGAGACATGCACCAAATACACGATTAAGCAATAATGTCTAAAATATTAAATTGATTTTAAAAATAATAATATATTGTCTCTAGAGACATGCACCAAATACGCGATTAAGAAATATTGGTCTAGACATTATTGCTTAATCACGTATTTGGTGCATGTCTCTAGAGACAATATATTTTAAAATCAATTTAATATTTAAAATAATCAAATCAATAGAGGAATTTAGTTTACAAAAATCTAAGTTTTTCCGAGTAACATTCTAGACATTGTTATTAATCACAATAATCACCACATATTAATCACCATATCTATTTTGGCTGTAAAACAGTAATGCATTTCGGTTGGAAGGGCCAGACGTTGTACTATAGAAGTGAGAGTTAAAACTCATTTTTCAATTGGGGCATTTGGGCTGTTGATGTCTATGGGCTCCGGTAATTACTTAACGCTAAGCGGTTCGTACGCTCGTTCATCCATTTTGACAATTAAAAAATCAGAATTTCCACATTTAATATGTTCTCGATATTTCGGCACTTTTGCAAACGCTATGATCAAGATGAAACTAATAGATTAAAGATTGCGGGGGTAAAATTTTGGGAGTCAAAAAATCGGTCTACCTTGGTTTTAGACCCTAATGGTATAGACTAATAGTATCGACATTTTTTTCCAAACACTTATCTCTGTACTTTGTGACTACATAAGCATAATGGTTAGTAGCCATATAATCATTATTTTTATTGGTTTTGAAAACCAACCAATATGAATAAAAAGGCCACTAATATTCTTTAGGCATAAGTGTAAATCTGAAGGACCATTGCCTTTAACCTGAAACGAGTGATTGCAGTTTTACATACAGAGGTAGTGTTATCATATCCTCCCAGCCGTGTTAGATCGCTAGTGATGGAAACTAGAATCTTCTGAAGCCCTTATTAGTCTGTATCTTTTAATTTATAGCTAGTTAAACAATTTTCTGTAGATCTTCTAAGTGTAATAGTAATTATTAGAAATAATATTTCATAGTGCAATGGTATTGATAGACATTTGATGAAAGTTCTAACATTCACATGTATTTATTCATTTCATTTATTAATTTCAGCTGACTACATACATCCATGTAACGACACGTCCAGCGAATGCTTAGTGAAGGCAACCCAGGACGCGGTTCCGCATTTCGTAAGGGGTATTCCCGAACTTGACATTCCGACATTAGACCCGTTCGTGATCGAGGAGCTGTCCATACCGTTGAGCGGTGTCAAAGTCACCTTCCTTCAAGGAAAAGTATCTGGATTTAAAAACTGCATAGTCGATAATGTTATGTAAGTTGTTTTGCTTAACTCCAAAGATTTTGGTGAAACGTGGCAGGTAGCGTACTAATTCGCCTCTTAGTCAGTATGCGGTAATTGTGATAAAGAGAAACCTGGGCATAGAACACAACTTTCTCAGATCTTACTTCGTGGTAAGGGTATCTCAGTCAACTGAGAGGGCCGTCGGGTTAGGTGATCAAAGGGAAACAATCTGATCTAGTGTTATGCTTCCCCCTCTCATCCCATTTCCCAACTTTGTATCGCTGAAAATTGTACCTTAAATTGCAAACGCGTCTGGAGGATCGTTTATTTGTCTTTCCAAATATCGCAGTCCCAACACGTTGAATGTTGATCTGGTTTAATTTCTTATTCTTTAGGCATACACTTTAGAATGCACTTTCTTCTCTATTGCCCTAGTCTACTGATTTCTATTTTGATTAAAGTACAAATCGACATATTGATTACCATGCAGTCATTACTGTAGTTATTATCATTCGTTTACAATTAAAAGCGTTTTGTCCATATTTTGTCCTAATTCCTTGGGCACGTATGAGTTGATAATTCGATTGCCACGTAACGTCATTCAAGCCGTAATCTAGGCATAATGAAACAAATTAACCAACATGTAGCATTAGAGACACTTTCGCTTGAAAATCGAAAAATTCTAAACCACAATTGCTCTTCTTCAACAAAGTTCAACAAGACATTGTGCTGTTTTAAAATTTTCTTTTCATTCTTAAGGCGTTAAATGTTTTCATTTTTAAGACAGGCTCTTAAAAATGAAAACATTTCTATTATTTTGTAACTTAACCGCATAACATACCGCACAACAGCAGTTGAAGCGTGAGCTATATTTCACGTACTCCATTAAAAAAACAAAAGCGGTGGCCTTAAATTAATCCTCACAGTTCTTGTGCTGATTTGTTGCATTGTAATCTGCCCTTGTTAACATAAGAACACCTCACGCTCATGCAACATTTTCGTCATGTATATTCTATGAAGGTAATAAAGACAAATCGAGACTAAAGTTCACTTAGTTGGGTCAAGGAAGACTTGAATACGAAACACGTTTTGAAAATACCGTGAATCTAAAAGGTAAATAAGATCCTTATATTTGTCGATTCAATTATGTTAAGTAAAATGAAATTTGTTTTTTATGAATAAATTTGAAAGTTGTTAACATCGATCGCATGGGGTTTACGAAAGATTGAAAAATGAAATACCCGTGAGTAGAAAATAGGATTGTGTGGGAAAATAATATAGTCTTCAAAGTAATAAGTCCACATTAAATTATAGCCGCTTTCCCGATATCAATATTTTAAAAATCTCTGATGTATTGTATTGTGCATACTTTGTCTGTGGAAACAGTCTATTGTGTTGAATTCATGTGTCTATATTTTGCATTATCAACAGCTTCATTAATTCCTCAGTTATCTAATTTATGATATATACCTTGATCAGAACTCACAATAATATTAGATATAATTAATTTGTGGCACTCTATCCTTCCAAACTTGTGAAATTCGTTTTGGTAAAATATTGAAAAGTCATAGTTGTTTCTTAAGAGATAAAACTCCTGGTTTACTCATATCCAGTATTCGAATCACGCATACAGAATACTAATATTCTAAGGAAGTGTGTCCTTAACAGCTACTCACTAGGTACTTTCCCGATGAAGGAACAGCAACGTATAATAAAAAAAATATACATTCTCAAATTTTATGAATACTTTTTTTGTACCGACCGTATTATGATTATATGCGGATAGCAGGACAGCAAAAGCCAGGATGCAGAAATACGTTCCAATTTGAAGGGTGGGACAATCATTATATAATACGCTTGAGACTTTTGACATAAAAGACTTTGACCACACGCCTTAAGGTGGGCGACGGCTTTCATGTCGTAATATCTACCGACTCCGACAACGACTTAACACCAGATGGACCTGGTGGCAGTGGTGAACTCATACACAAATTAATGCAATAAAATACAAATCAACAAATTCAATACAAATCAAATAAAAATTTTATTGCTTCGATGGGTAGACGAGCTCACAGCCCACCTGGTATTAAGTGGTTACTGGAGCCCATAGACATCTACAACGTAAATGCGCCACTCATTTTGAGATATAAGTTCTAAGGTCTCAGTATAGTTACAACAGCTGCCCCACCCTTCAAACCGAAACGTATTACTGCTTCACGGCAGAAATAGGCAGGGTTTCTTGTTATCTTGTTTGTACAGTTGATAATAATTATATAATAATAAATCTTAAGATCTTTAGGTTAGGAATATTATGTTCTTTTTTTTTATAATAAATAAAGTTTGATTATTTAAAAAAGTAAACAATACAAATTATCTAAACTGTATTATAAATATGAATCTTTATGGATTTCAAATTGATCACATAATAAGAATTAAATTACATTTAAAAGACTGTGATAATGAAATTAAAAATTTAATGACACGAACATTTATCTGTGTGATTATTGGCTATCAACTATACGAGGTATAAGATGACAAAGGTAATTAATAACGTTAATTGTAACAGTTACTAAACAAACTGAGATAATAGATGTTTAATCAAATTTTGTTATGAAATGAAAAATCGAACTAATAACAAGTACGGAAAAAAATGTAGTATTATAAAAAAAATATGTTTACGATCTTACATCTTACTTACACTAACTAAATAGAAATTCGAACTCGTAAATTTATTGTATGAAATTTTGGTATTTATACTAAGCAAGCACTAAAGGATTTTATAAATTTCACCCATAAATGGATAAAATAAAGGATGATGGATTTGAAATTAATACGCCGGGTAGTTTCTCGATTTGGAAAGAAGTAACATAAAATCCGATATTAACCATACTATAAAATAAGGAGTTGAAGGCATAATTAACTTCGAGGACTTTCGAGGTTGTCCGCGATCACCAATCTAAGCAATAAAAAAAAAGATCACAGAAACTGTTATGTCATGTATTTGAAATATAAAATTATTAAAATCGCGAGATCAAAATGTTCAAGTAGTTCTAATACCTATACTACGAATACTGTATGAAATAACAAAATAAAATACGTCGAACTTAAATTTTATTAATAACTTGTAAAGTACTGGTGGTAGGACCACTTGTGAGTCCGCGCGGGTAGATACCACCACCCCGCCTATTTCCGCCGTAAAGCAGTAATGCGTTTCGGTTTCAAGGGTGGGGCAGCCGTTGTAACTACAGTTGAGACCTTAGAACATTTACGTTGTAGANGAAATATAAAATTATTAAAATCGCGAGATCAAAATGTTCAAGTAGTTCTAATACCTATACTACGAATACTGTATGAAATAACAAAATAAAATACGTCGAACTTAAATTTTATTAATAACTTGTAAAGTACTGGTGGTAGGACCACTTGTGAGTCCGCGCGGGTAGATACCACCACCCCGCCTATTTCCGCCGTAAAGCAGTAATGCGTTTCGGTTTCAAGGGTGGGGCAGCCGTTGTAACTACAGTTGAGACCTTAGAACATTTACGTTGTAGAGCTCCACCACATAACACCAGGTGGGCTGTGAGCTCGTCCATCAATCTAAGTAATAAAAAAAAGAAAAGAAAGTATGTCAAATCTCTCAAACGACAGTGTGTGCCATACAATAATTCTATCTTTCTCTCGCTAGCATCTAACTACTACTACTGCGACTCCTAATCATTATTCATGCCAGGAACATCACCAGTTAGCCACCTACCGCTAAGTTCTTTCAAACTACTTTTGAACTAGGAACTAGGAATGTCATAGCGGACGGGAATCATGTAAATACTCGAACAGTATTCTTATCGCTCATAAACATTAGTAGTTTTATGGACATAGCCACTCAGCTTAAGCCTAGCCTAGCCAACGCCCTCAAGGCGAGCTCTCGGCCCGTCGACCGAGGGAACCGGCGGTCGTGTCATCGACGGCTGCCGTTACGACGTCTGGAGGACGGCGGGATGAATATAATATTCTCTCTACGTCAACCCTGTCTCACTGTCTCAGTGGCCCCGACTGGGCTCCGACCCGGTCCGGGGTAGAGCGCCGGCTGTAAGCGGCAGGAGATTTTAGTGAGGTTCAACTCCCACATATCCCCACCCGCGCAGCGAGCTCCCAACTCGCCGATAATTTTCTCTTGTAAAACCTTGTTTAAAAAAGCACTGGTCATAGCATTAGGTGAGGAGCACTGGAGCACGTTTTGACAAAAAACATTACTCCCCTTCTGGGGCACTCGACTAAAAAATCTTCCGTTGAATGCTCGCAGTGTACAAGCTTAATAATCCATAAACATTAACAGCATGAGCTCTTGAGTTGCGTAACACGGCAAACTGGTTTACAAGGCAAAAACAATTTGATGCTTAATTTAAGTTTATATTTTGCATTTTTTGTAACTAATCTTTGATGGTATCTTTGCATGTATCATTCATTCTGAAACGGTTCAGTTCACATCAATTCTGAAGGTCGTGTCTTGTTTGAGCACTGTTATCTGATCATTTGTTGCAAATTCTTCTCCACGTGTTTCTATATCTTTGGCAGTCATGAATGCTTCAGTTATGGGCATACCGGTGAGTGATGCGATCAGTTTTGACCAAGAGGTTAGCGATCGACACGTAGTCTTTTCCCATCGATATCACCATCATCTCAGCCTGTACACTGTCCACTGCTAAACATAGGCCTCCCCAACTGATGTCCAGTGTGTCCAGTCTGTTGCCACCTGCATCCAACATGACCCAGCGATTTTCACTAGGTTCTTGGTCCATCTGGTATTCCCATCGATATGGCCCTCTTTTATTAGCTCTTTGTGGCTGTCAGTAATTTGTCCGAAATAGTTAAATATGCGCTGGGAATAGACTAGACATTCTAATTGTCATACGAAGCTCTTTGATAATGGACGAGTTTGTTCGGCGACAAGCAGGTATTATTACAGGTATTATATCTAGACAAAAAATTAGCTAGATGTACAAACCGGTGCTCATAAATGATATATTTCCATCATTAGATATGAAGTTAAGGGCTTAGTTGCATCAAAATAAGCTTTATGGGTTATAAATCTACATACAGACTTGAGGAATAGCAAATTGGCATGATGAATACCAGTAACCCACAAAACGTGTCTTAGTCGATACACAGGCATCAGTTGAAGGGTCACTCATTTTTAAAGTAACATAATAATTACATCATACAGTATTTAATTATTATGGTATGTTATAATGCTATGTCGATACTTAAATGCGAGACAAAAGTATGGACATAAGTAATGATTTAAAATTTTAGTTGCTAACTGTTATGTTATAATGCAATGTAATGTAACTGTTATACTTCTGGGTGCGATTTTCGGTCGGTTTTTTTAACAATACTTTTTGTTGGTATTTTTTTGATCCGTAAAACAATTGAAAATAGGCCTGGACTATTTCCGTGTAAATATAATTTTCTTCATTGTACTAAAATTATTTAACATTTTACTAAAAGTAAACATGTTTAGTTTGGATTGAATACCGAAGACGAAATTTCAAAAAAATAATCGGAGTAACAAGATTATGTGCATATAAAAAAATGTTAAATGTAAATATTATTATATTAAAGCTGTTTTTTTACATGTTACAAACAATTCCACTCTGTATTATTGAAATAAGATAAAATACCATGAAATATTTATCTGGTAAAACACAAATAATATATCAGAATCATACTAATCGAAGCCGTTCTGTGGAATCTGGAAGTGTAAATCTACATTGAAATCAAATCAACTGGTTTCTTTATTTTCAGATCGGAATTAGATAAACGACATTTCGTGCTCCAATTTCACACTAATTTAACGATCAAAGGACAATATACAGCTGTGGGAAGACTGTTATTATTCCCAATAAACGGAGAGGGTGATGCCACGATAAAATTAAGTAAGTGTCTTGCACAAAATTCAACGAACACAGCACAGCACAGTAATAGCGCACAGTGAAACATTGATTTAAATGTTACGAGTAATGTGGTTTTAAAAAAAAAGTGTAGTGTAGGGGTGAATAAAATTAAATTATCAATGAAATATTTTTAACTCAATACTAAATTTATAAAAATATTTAGATTTCAAAACTCTGCGGCTAATTTACATTATTTGGAATTGCAATGTGTCAGTTTGAGTTAACAACAAAAATAAGTACAAAATAATATTAAATATTTGCAAAAAAAAATCCGCAGAAACTTTGCCGTATTGCTTAACAAATTTAATAAACATTATTTTAATCAGATTACACAGTATCGTAATGAATGCATAGTTTTTATATTAATGAGGTTTTGTTTTGTAGTTGATTTTACGGCATATAAGGCCTTGAAACAAGGCTACTTGCTTGTGGGCTATGTCTAAAAATGTGCACACAATTATTAAATGTAAAAATAGATAAGTTAATTTGCTATGTAGATACACTGCTAATTTTATGCAATTACAATAGTTGGAGTTTTTTTTTTTTAACTTCAAATAAACTTTATTAACAATAATTATTGACGCGATTTGATTACTTATTATTATGTTTAGTCCTTATTTTTTTGCATTCGTCCGAACTCTGATAATGTGTGGGTCCTTAAGCTTACTGCACAATAAGCTCTAACGATGTTATTAATTTGTTGATCTACTAAATGTTCGTATCACATGGGCTCACAATATTTTTTTGTTGAACTGATTCAGATCTTATGCTGCATTGATTGCAAAGGTTCTTAAATATTGGGAATCATCGGTTAATGCTACCAGTCTTCATTTTCGGTAGTTTCTGTGATTGTCAAGAAAAAATCGGGTTCATTTAATGCCAAAAAACAAATCAGGTCTTCTCCTAATTAAAATACATTAGTTTTTTTAATGAGTGAGAATTGAATAGGTCTTCTCAATAAGCCTATTCTCAGAGTGCTTATAGAAACTAAAAAATTAAACTTATTATAGTTAACTTATTTAACTAAAAAATTCCGAACTATTATAAAAAATTTAAAAATACATTTAAATATGTTTTTAGCTAACCTGAGGATGAAAGTAGACATCAACACCAAATATATAAAAGGCAAAAACGGACTTCATCACTTCGGATTGAGAAACTACAAATACACCTTCGATTACGGTGACCGGGTTTCCTTTGATTTGCAGAACATATTCAAAGAGAGCAAACAACTTAGTAAGTATTATTAGTAATATTAGTAATATATTATTAGTAGTATATTATATATAGTATAGTCATATATATTATTAGTAGTAGTATTATTAGTAATATATTATTAGTAATATTATTTAACGTACGTTACGTACTTATTAGATCGTTACGTCGATCGCTTTACGTTGCGTATTAGATCTTACATATAATAGTAATATTATTATAATCTATATATTTAGACGAAGGCAAAACAGTTTAGAACAACTCTTCTTTGATCTCTTCTGTTTGCAACCAACTTTTTTCCTGCTTTGTATAAATTGACTAGCTTCATTTTGATAATTATAAATGTTAAATAAATTCGAAAATACCTTATCTTTCAAAGTTTCAATAACAATAGAGAATATTTAATAAGCAACATCCAAATATTTAGGTATCAGAGATTATGGTCTATTTTAGGTATAAGATCTTAAGAATTTTACCATTGTTTTTTGTTCGTCAGAAGCTGTAAAATAATTTAGACTAAGTAACAATAAATAAAATAAAGCTTATGATTTTCCATGGCACACTATTTGTTAAGTCACACCGCATATCATATTTGATTAAATAATTAAGAACAAACTTTAATAAAGATAAAATATAGTGTCTCCTACACGTTAATTGGTCTTAATAGGGCTCTTCGAGCGGGATTGCATGACTGGCTCCCACTAGAAGTAGGTAGGAATTAGTACGCTTTACTACCGTTAAACTTCATATGTTACCATTTGTTTTTCAGGTGACACTGTATTAAATTTCCTGAATGAAAACTGGAAAACCGTTGCGGAAGAGTTTGGGAAGCCCATCGTGGATTACGCCGTAGAACTGGCTATCAATACCATTAAAAAATTCTTCCTAGCTGTCCCCTACGAAGAACTTATCAACGTTCCGATACCTATATAACATAAGAATAGTATTTAAAATAAAATATTTTTTTACGTTTTCTCAAACGTTTAATTTCCTAGAAGTTAGTATGTATGTAGTAGCATAGTTAGAAAATTTGTATTTATTATATCCCTTCCTGCATTTTAAATCGCTGTCTATTTTGGCTCTCCACAAATTTAATTACAGCGTGGGATTAAATAAAAATATCACTCTTAATATCGATAAAATTTAAAAAAGATAAAACACAAATTCGATCCCATCTTAAGAAATAAGGATTGATTTAATATTGTGACACAATTAAGACAAGACTGAAGCTTTTTTGTCAATATTATTATCATTCTATGTCCTGTTCTTCTACTGATTATCCGGCAAACGAGGCTGGTAAGGTACGAGGCAGGTCTCTAAATGTAAATGTGTGTATGTTTACCAGAAATGAAATAAAATACGTAGAGGCCTAGAGTAGCATCATCTGTTCCTGTTGGTGTATACGCTATGCGATTGATATGAGCTCCGGTAATCAATTTACACCGGGTGGACCGTTAGTTTGTTTCCCCCATTTCAGCTATAGAAATAACGAAATATAGTTCAGTTTAACTTTAAGTGATTCATTCTAATCTATGGTAACTTATTGTTACAATAAAAAACTCTAAATTTCAATTTCTACCAATGATTGAGAATAGTCTCTAAAATAAAACTGAGATTCTCTTTTTTGATGTTCATAAGCGAATTTACAATAGAGATAAAATTAGAATAACAATATTAAAAAGGAATTAACTTTTGCGGACATCAAATTTCACACAAACTCCTTTTTTTTATTGCTTAGATGGGTGGACGAGCTCACAGCCCACCTGGTGTTAAGTGGTTACTGAAGCCCATAGACATCTACAACCTAAATGCCCCACCCACCTTGAGATATCAGTTCTAAGGTCTCAGTATAGTCACAACGGCTGCCCCAACCCTTCAAACCGAAACGCATTACTGCTTCACGGCAGAAATAGGCAGGGTAGTGGTACCTACCCATGCGGACTCACAAGAGGTCCTACCACCAGTAATTACGCAAATTATAATTTTGCGGGTTTGATTTTTATTACACGATGTTATTCCTTCACCGTGGAAGTCAATCGTGAACATTTGATGAGTACGTATTTCATTAGAAAAATTGGTACACGCCTGCGGGATTCGAACACCGGTGCATCGCTCAACAGGAATGCACCGAACGTCTTATCCTTTAGGCCACGAGGACTTCATTTCAATTCAACACTGTGTACGGTATTACTTTACTAAAATTCAATAAAATCTTTAAAAAAGAAATACTCATAGGCACGAGCTTCCACAACTTTGACCTCTTAAATTATAATTACGGTGTAATTCGCAAAACTATTTCATTTGATAAGTATTTTTGGTTAAAATATGGCGCGAACGGATACATTGCTTGTGACTTTTTAACAAGTGTAAATAAGGTTTGTATTATTTAATATGTGTAACAATAAAGACTGCATTTGCCCTTCAACATGAGGAAGCTTAATGTTTGACTACAATAAACCTTCAGTTAAAGTAACAAAGCNAATTACGGTGTAATTCGCAAAACTATTTCATTTGATAAGTATTTTTGGTTAAAATATGGCGCGAACGGATACATTGCTTGTGACTTTTTAACAAGTGTAAATAAGGTTTGTATTATTTAATATGTGTAACAATAAAGACTGCATTTGCCCTTCAACATGAGGAAGCTTAATGTTTGACTACAATAAACCTTCAGTTAAAGTAACAAAGCAGTTAAAATAAACACCTTGTTAAATGTATCTTGTTGATTTCTTAACGATACATTTGCTATCGTAGTCAATGACTAGCATGTTTAATTATTACATGCTTTCTGTTAACCTTACAATCGTACGTTTACTTATTATTCTCGGCAGACTCTACTTCGACCTCATGATCAGTAAAGGGAGTAAAATGTCCCTTCAGAACAAAGTGACACTTTACAAAACTTGCATAAGACCCGTCATGACTTACACGAGTGTCGAGTTCGTTCACGCGGCCCGCACACCTATAGAAACCCTCTAATCCTTATAAACCCGCTTTTGCAGGTTAGCCGTCAGAGCTCCGTGGTTCGTGAGGAACATCGACAACACGACGATCTGGGCCTGAAAACAATCCGGAAATACATGAAGTCAGCGTCGGAACGGTGCTTCGATAAGGCAACCGTCATGATAACCTTATCTTTGCCGCCGCTGACTACTTCCTGAATCCTGATCACGCAAGAGCCAGTCACCGTCAACGTCCTAGACACGTCCTTACGTCAGATCCAATAATCTTTGCATTAGACGCCTTCTGCTCTAACACTAGGAGCAGGCTTAGGGAGCCCGATAACCGTACTCGTTGAATTCGACAAAGAGTTCGACGTGCAACCTAACCCATACATCATTCCGCTGAGTTTCTCGCCGAATCTTCTCGCGATTCCGATCCGGTTTAACATTCATTCGCGAAGCAGTTGCTCTTGAGTTGTTAGATCTCCTTTGGAAGCGCTCGGACAGCTGATAGCAAATCCCATCCCTCCTGTCTGAGAATTTGCTCGCCCACCTGTCCTGGTGAAATTAGAAAGGCCCCGGGCCATCAGTAATACCTCGTTCATGAAAAAATGATATAATTAGATACATGTATTTCACAATAAAGCCAAAATATGTAAAGGTACTAATTTCCATTTCATTCCATTCCAAAATTCATAACAAATAGTATTTCTGGAATACTAAGCAATGTTATTATAGTAATGTGTTCGAAGCGCAAGTCCTGTATTCATTCGTCTTAGTTACGCGTAGATCCAGACACGCCCCTCTCGCGTTTCTGTCGCTGTAACACGATCGCGGCTCCTATTATACGCGACGTCTTATTTTTTATGTCACACTCTATTAGTAACGATCGAGCTGATGCCTGCTGATGTGAGGAATTTGATTGAATTCTCGTGTTTTGTTTTCCTTTGTCGGTACTTCGTTTGGTTTTATTATGTGTATCATTTCGGGTTTCGTCCACTTTTTTAGGGTGTCTTAGTTGAATAGGAAAATACGAAACACTCACTTTTTTTTAATTTATTGCTTAGATGGTTGGACGAGCTCACAGCCCACCTGGTGTTAAGTGGTTACTGGAGTCCATAGACATCCACAACGTAAATGCGCCACTGAGCATTTGCTGAGTACGTATTTCATTAGAAAAATTGGTACCCGCCTGCGGGATTCGAACACCGTTGCATCGCTTCAACACGAATGCACCGGACGTCTTATCCGTTAGGCCACGACGACTACAATTTGTCCATGCATCACAACTATTTAAGCTGAATACTATAGAGATTACTTGAATATTTGGAAACTGGATGCTATTGACAAATTGCAACGTATAGAAATATAGTTAAGATCCAAAAATTATGTATCTGCATAACGACGGGGCCATTAATATTTTCTTCCGCAATAATTTTTTTTTAATTTTGCCCTTGTTGGCAGACGAGCTACTATTGTAATTGTTTTTTGTTGCTAAACATGATCCGGGACGTACTCGACGAGTTTTTTTTTACTTACGTAGATAAGCGGTCTTTTTAAAGTATATACTTAAGTCATAAATGTCACCGGTGTATATACCTTATATTCCTGGATTTCCAGTTGATTTCTAAAATCAGATGAAATGGCCGCCTAGACATTATTAGAGGAAATACCGCCACTCACCTTGAGATTTTCATTTACATAGCGATTATTCTACTTTATACAAATAACTAAATAAACTACTGTGATATAGTGTGAGTTGCCTTCAGCGATTTCGATTCAGATAGATCAGACATTTGAGATCCTCTGCGGTACCCATGATATCAATTCACTGTATCTAAAAATAAAAGAACAGCTTTGTTTTATTTTTAACTACAAGCTTAGAAATTTCACTGCATTAAGGCGCCCAAAGTTTTAAAGACTCGTAAAACCAAATTTTATACGAAAAAGTTGTTTAATATTCCATCTTCCGTATTTTTAAATGTTAAATTATACTATCGTAATAGTCTCCACCGAGAGATTTTAACTCCAACATTGTACGTCTGACAATAAATGTTTTTCGAGTATCTTTGTTACTCGCTTAGTTTTGTTTTACCCTCGACATATTCTTTCACGATTTTAATTCTTTATGAATTCATATCTTGCTTTTTGGGTAGATTAAAAAAGACTGCGGGTCATTTTGCAAGAAAAAATTACTAAATTTTTAACGGTATTTAAATACTATGCCATGGGGAATGCTCTGAAGAATTGTTTCAGATGATACCACCATCTCGTTTTTACTATTAGACCGCCGGCCACCGGAGTAGAGTTTATCCATACTACCTGGAGCCACTATGGTCATCCACAGTGCGTTTCCAGAGATCTTTTTTGCCACGCACCATCCGGCTTTGGAATGAGCTCCCCTCTACGGTGTTACCCGAGTGCTATGACATGTCCTTCTTCAAATGAGGCTTGTGGAGAGTATTAGGCAGCGTCATGACTCTTCCCCTGGCATTGCTCAAGTCCATGGACGACAGAAACCATTCACTATCAGCTGGGCCGTATTCTCATCTGCCTAAAAGGGGAATAAAACAAAAAATTATTCCAAGATCTTTTTAGGATAGATCAACACGAAAAACAACTAAAGCGGCAACACAAGTCCTAGGTAAAGGTAAAATGTACTTAAGCTCTTAGGGCTTGCATTAAATGGTTAACATTTTTTTTGTTTCTTGCCCCTGAAATTTATTGAACAAATAGCACTTTTCACATTTAAGATTAATTATCTACAAACACTCAGACAGGACAATCGGGCCCACAATGATTTCATTTACAATGACGTCGAAATTTTACGAAGACTCGAATCAACCATAACCTTGTGTTAACAAGTTGTTTTGTGAGTACCTACTAAGTTATCTCAACTGACCGAACATTGTTTTACTCTGTGAGATTGTATAAAGACGTCGCATTGAGCGTCGTAATTCTTAGAGGAGGAAGACGTCTTGGCTGTAATTTTGTTTTATGGTTGTGTTATTTTTGATGTCCTGAACATCACC